TTGTAGTTGCCATCATGAACTGAGTGAAGGTCCTTGTCTCTTACCTAATGGCATGACAGAGATATATTTCCCGCGGAACTTGCTATCAATAGTGATATGCTGCCAGAGGGTCACCCCCGCTGTGAGGTCACATGGTGGGCAGCAGCTGGTGGGTGATGACTGACCTGAGGAGGAAGGGTATCAGCTGGAGGCAATGTGTGTAAATCAGGGGTGTCAAACTCAATTTCATCGCGGGCCACATTAGCATTATGGTTGCAATCAAAGGGCCGGTTGTAACTATATAAATATACATATATAAATATATAAAATAATGTATTATATTACATTATTGCCTCTGAATTGGATTATTATCGGATAGGATAATAACTTAGTAATTAACTACGTCTGAAAGCAGAAGTCTAGGGCAAATAATTGCAAGTCTCTTCAGTGCGCATGTCACAAAATGAGATGCATTGTGGGACATGTAGTTTATGGGCAACCTGCTTCTGTAAAGTGGCATGTAACCGTATAATAAACGTATTATAATCTTTGCAAGCTCTTGCGGGGCCACATAAAATGAAGTCGCGGGACGGATTTGGCCCCCGGGCCTTGAGTTTGACACCCCTGGTCTAGGAGGTGAGGATTATGAATTGTGTACGACACACTGTGTGCATCAGGCTTTCTGTGGGGCTAGAAAGCGAGGAGCCTTGTGTGAATTGTCTCCTATGGAAATGAGAATAGAAACTCGAGAAACATGTGCGTTCGTTCATATAATCTGAGGTTACCAATGTAGGCCACAGTGACGTTTAAACCAAGTGTTTCTTTATTTACAAAGTGATGAAATGCTTTGCCACTTCCCCAGCTTGTTTCTGAAAAGAGAAAGCGTTCACACAGAGAGCAATCACAGAGCAGTTGTACACAGATTGATCTTACACCATATATAAAATAGCAATTAATTACAAAATGATGCAAGACAGCGGTACATCTGTTCGGAGGAAATCTCAAAATCGAGGTAGAAAAAGCACGCACTGCTTCGAATGGTGACATTTGACGACAAAAGTTCATGAATGATCAAGAACGTTTGTATTCTTAAAGTGAAACTGCCGAGTTCACCAGCTTTAGTTGAGCTGCGTAAAACCAATAAGGTCAGCAGCCAAATGTTGAGTAAAAAATAAAAGGCAAAATAACGACAGTGAAAAATGTCCACAGTATCTGACACATTGAGTTCATTTGGATTTCAAGTGTGCGATAAACACTGTAATCTGCTATAAATAATCTCTTATGGTTTATTTTTACAGTGGCATGTGTGCGGTGTCCGACAGGTGCAAATGCAAAGGTCAAAAATATTTCCAATAGGAGCAACGCGCTGCAGTTTCCAAAACGATGCAAATATCAAAACACAAATGTGGCGAAACACATGCAGATGAATAAAACATCTTCACAGACTCACAAAAATTGCACAATTACTAAAAGGCTGCATAATCGAAATGCTGCAAGAAACTAAAAACACAACGGAAACGGGGGGACAATAAAAAGTGACACACACAGCTGGGACCGGAGCGCTTGTTGACGTTCGGGGATTATAAAGTTAGCCAAACTGCATAGCCCAGGAAGTAGGGGTGCTCGAGGTGCTGCAGCACCCCCTGTTGGTGAATGGTGTACATTTGAAAAACGGATTTTTCTTTATAAATATGGACATTTTGTGCTCAAATTGAAATGCCACTGTCAATGTGGTTTGTCATTATTGATAGAGCTTTTTTGCCGGTTACTATTATGTTCATGTTACTGTTGAAATCTCTCCCCACTTTTGGCCGCACCCCCTAAGTAAAATGACTTCCCGCGGCTATGCCAACATGTCTCTGTTGTAGGAAACGTACCTAAAATGTAAGTTTTAACGGCTTTTTTTACTAATGTGATCACATGACTCCCTCCAATATTATAGCGGATCTGCTGTAAGCTTACGTAGCTAACCTAGTCATTTGAAATATACTGACAAAACACTTACAAATATGAAACAGACTATCTTTGCCAACAGAGACATCTTTATATTCCTGAACGCTCCGGTCCCAGCTGCGTGCGTCACTTTTTAGTTTCCCCGTTTCCGTTGTATTTTGAGCATCTTGCAGCACTTTTAGTAAACGCTGCTCATGTTTCCTCAAGTGGCCAACGCGTTGAAGCGCGTTGGCAACTTGTCGGCCACCGTACTTGTAGGTCAAAATGTGTTTCATGCAGACACTAAACAAACTACTTTCAGTTTATTTTCATAGCAACAAATACAGAGGTTTAATGAATGGAAAATGTTCCCCTTCATTCTGCATTTAACACCATTTTGTCCACCCACCTCCTCTCGCTTGGCATCACCACATGTTTTGTGAAACAAAGTGCTCCTGTTACATTTAGTGAGAGGACCAAATGGAAAAGTATAACTGGAGTCAAAGTGATATAAATGTAAATGTAATCATGGCACAAAGCACAAAAGAGCTCAAAGTGTTTACTCTGTCTGAAATGAATCTGTGATGTCTCTAATGGGTGTTTTGATGAAGAAACTGTGCCACGTCAACAAATGTTTTCCCTTATCAAACATCAATTTCACTAATGTACACAAATCTGTTTGCTTCTGTTCCCTTGATTCATTGTGTTTACATGTCATTTCCTTTGTCACTTCATTACCCTTCCATTAATCGGATTGGTGGCATATGCACAAAAGCGCCGTCGACATGAATAGCCCATCAAGTGTGCTCCATGATTTTCTTTCCAAAAATAGAAAGACTGGGACGCACACACACACACACACGCACACACGCACACGCACACGCACACACAGAGGGATGTGATTTGCAGAGAGACCAGAAAGCCACATACAGCAACTCCTCTTCTGTCAGTCTTATCTTCACGCTGTGTTCAACATCCCCCTTTAAGCACCAGGTGTACAATCACAAGGCCTCCAAACCACCCTTTTTTTTTTTTGACAGTCAAACCTCAGCTTTTCAAACCTTGAGAGCCTCGTGGACGCCCACAGCGGACAGTCTGCGGTTGATGTTTCGATAGCGACAGCGGAGAAGGTCACGGTAAGTGGAGCGCAGGTCTCTGTTGAAGAAGGCGTAGATAAAAGGGTTCATTAGGGAGTTTGCGTATCCCAACCAGAGCAGCGTTCGCTCCAACCAAATTGGAACGCAGCTACACTCAACGCCACAAATAAACGGCCTGGCGGTGGAAAGGATGAAGAACGGCAGCCAGCAAACGCCGAAAACCCCGACGATTACCCCCAACGTGGTCGCTGCTTTCTGCTCTCGCTTAAAGATGGAGATGTTTCTTCGCTCGCGGTTCAAAAGGCGGGAAATGGCAGCACATTCTTCCGCCACGCCTCCAGGCTTCATTCCGTGCATCCTCAACGCCTCGTTAGCCACCGTGCTGAGACGCTCGCGGCGAGAAATGTCAGTGAAGCGATGTTTGGCGCCACTTTTACGCGCCGCCTTGAAGATCTTGTAGTACATGACCAGCATGACCAGCATGGGGATGTAGAAAGCGACGGCTGTGGAGTAGATGGTGTAGCCGAAGTCTTGGCTGATGAGGCACACGCCGGCTGTGTGCACGTTTTTGGCCCAGCCGCAGAAAGGTGGCAGCGTGATGGAGGCCGACGCCAGCCACACGCCCAGGATCATCTTCGCCATCAGCTGACCGTTCTGCCGCGCCGGGTAGGTGAGAGGCCGCGTGATGCCCAGATACCTGAGGGGAGAGGAGACAGAAGAACATCAGTAAAAACTTTTACATTTTTTTATTTATATTTAATTTAATATGCCATTCCTTGCACTCTTAATGTCAATAATATCCTGCTTTTAAATTGTGTTGGCTGGAATTTGGCCTTTCACCATTTAGTCTTCAGATATATATCTTCCACTGTCATTATGTATATATTTTACTTTAAAGGGGACCTATCATGCAAAATGCACTTTTGTACGTCTTTTATACATGAATATGTGTCCCCGGTGTTCCAGGGAACTCACCAAGTGTCAGGAAACACAACCCTCTCTCTTTTCCTCCATACCCAAATCTCTAAAAACGGGGCTGCAACGGATCTGATACAGACTGATCCAGATTTGAAATATCTCTGACGTCAGAAACAAGGAGTTCCTGGGCAACTCTCCACCTATGAGGGGAATGTGGGGTTGGGCCACGGCTGGCCATTGCCACTCGAAAGCACTGGAGACGCTGTAGTACATATGCCGGGCCTTTAAGTGGCGCTGTAGTCTGCCACAAAAGCAGCGAAGAAGACTTCCCACGCATGGTTGCCATGGTTGCCCTTCTGTTTATTCTCCGCTGTGGACGCTCTGGCTCTTTTTCTCCCTCCCCGAGGCAAGCGTTTGCTCCTGCTGCTGTTATTCAATGCAATCCCTCCCTCGCTGTAATTCTCTCCGGTAGTCCACCAGCAGATGAAAAACA